AAGTTGTTGATGATATATTTTTTTTAATTTTTACATTATCAATCATTACATACATTTTTTTATTTGTTACACGTTCTCTTAGAGATGTTACATAAATGTAAAAGAGAAATATATATCTTTGTCAATTGTGAACCGAGTTTAGTAATTTTTTTTTAAATAGTTTAACCTATTTAATAATAAGGTTGTAATGGGTGGCCCCATTATAAGTTTGGAGAAAAAATCCACACTTTAAGATGGGAAAATAGGGGATACAACTTTTAATGAATCTATTAACACGAAATTCTAATCGTCAATTTGTAAGCGTGTGTGTGTGATTCCTAAGTTCACTCAAAGGGTTGAAATTAAAATTTTAATAAAGAGTTCCTCATATAACTAAAAATAATTAAACAATTTCTACATAGCGACCATTAACCGTGGAATTCTTCTTTCTTTACATTTAAAATAAATCCTAAGGTATAGCATATTTAATAAAAATCATCTAAATTAGTCCACCCGTTTCCGAAAAATCGGTGAACATACGTTTAATACGTGGTAGAACCATGCTGCAGCTGTATTAGTAGTATAGTTGTAGCACGAATGGGTCGGCTCGACCGGGGAAGGACCACGCCCTCACAGAATACCAGCGTAAAATAGCAGCTTAATATAGCTGTGTTTCGTACAGTGAGTGTAGAGAACCGGAGACCCTTTTCACTGGAAAAGGGGCATTTCATCTTAGTCCTCACGTGTGACAATACATCTGCGTTTCGATTCTTTATTGACGATAGATGTAGATGACCAATTACCATCAGATGGACTGTGTGCTGGTTTGTCATCATATCCTATAAAAGATATACATAAAATCGATTATAGAATCTCTTTCTTTGTTAAAGTCGAATAAATTACCCTTTGATCTAGTTGCATTATCAATACGGTAAATCTCTACTATGCGAGAGGTCAGTCCAGGTTCAGCTGTGTTAGTATGTAGTAGGTAGTGTACTAGTACGTAGAGGTACTGTATTTTATTAAGTAGCGCCTGAGTTAAGCTCAAGCGACGTTTTTCTTAACAAACATTAGTTTTTTTTACATACATATCAGGAGCTACTAAAATTAAAGAGTGCCAGTGTAAGAATATCCACTACCCAATTTCGTCCCGTGGGTGTAAGAGGTGACAGAAGGAAATAAAACAGGGGATTATATTTTTATATTTAGAGCTTGTGTTTCTTTGATTATTCAAACCATTATCAAAGTAAGTATATTTAAAAGACTGATAAAGACTTTTATATTCAATTTATTACTTACTTCTTTCATACTTTTGAAATCATACAAATTGTAAATAATTTATATGATTTCAAAAGTAAATAATAATAATATTTCGTCAATTGTCACAGTAATATGAGCGTTAAATATAACGTTAGAATAAGTATCTTACAGGTAGCTTTTATCAAGTTACTATTTTTGCCATATTCGCCTTTTACTGTACCATTTGAAATATTTTTCTTCTAAGCTTGAAATTCCCTTCCTAAAGAAATCTTCATCCTGAGCACCTAAAAATGTTGAAGACGATGACACAGCAACTTCATGATCTTCATAACTCTGTCCTCCAAGATGCTCTTTCAATCTCTGAAATAGATCCTAGTTACTCGACTTCACCGAGTCAGTAATTCATTCTTGGGGCGATGTATACGCTTTTATAACAAAATCCCAGAAAATATACAAAATTTTACCTGCTCAAAGTTCAAAAACTTTATTAAACAAAGTTTGTACAAAAAGGGTTATTATAATATTAAGGAATTTATGGATGATAATAACATCTGGGAATGAGGTGATCGCTACCAAGCTATTTCTAATTTGTTTTGTGTGGTTAATTTTGATTACATGATTGTAGGCTGTTATTTAAAAAAAAAGTCTCGCTGGGTTTCTTGCTGGTTCTTCCCAGGACAGAGGTTTTTTTTTCGAACCAGTTTTAATTAAACAAAAGAGTGACTTTCAATAAGTATTATTTATAATCTATATTAAATAAAAAAGTTTCTGTTTCTGTTTCAGATAGAAATTACTATGTGCAATGTCTGATAGCTATAGAGTACCATCTATCAGCAGCGGTGGATTTATGAGCCGAGGCAATATCTTGATGAAACAAAACAATTTTTATGAGTTTTCTTAGACGTTTTTCACGGATTTCGTTTCGACACAATTTTTTTATTTATTCTGCATACAAAGTATCGTAAGAATATAAGTCCATGATCGAAAAATCAATTATAACGACATAAAGAGTCGCTCAGACAAAAAATTAAGGAAATTATTAACACACAGGGTAATTTTTCAAATAGTAGCCAAATTTTAAACTTAAGTTCAAATATGTAAATAATGACATACCGTGAGATTTTTTTTTCCATTTTTGCCAATACACTACAGCAAACTACAATTTTTTTCGGTTTATTGTTTTAGATACCTTACACATACTCTCATATATTAGTGTATATTATTATTGATGTCCATACGATTAAGACGTGTTTTTGACGTACCCACCGTTATTTAAAACTGTTCTTGAATCTGGTTAAAATTCGTTTTGATTTTTTTTACAATTTTTTTAAAATTATAATTTATAATATATCTGATCATTTGCATTTGCTTCGAGGTAAGGACGTCCTTTATCAATCAACAATCTACATGGCTTGATATTCAGTCCTAAAAGTTTTTAACAATATTGGACTTGGTTGAATATTTAATGTATAACATCTACGATTTACTCTGCCGTCATGGTGGCGGCGCCACTCAGGGCAGAGGTGAAATATTTGACGGGTTTCTTGGCGGGACACTTAATTTGTTACAAAAGAGATTAATGTTTCTTTCTGAAATATTGGCAAAAAATGTATTTTAATTATATTAAAAATTAATAAACCAAACTACGGATATACCTTAAAGTAGAAAAATAATAAAAAAAAGTTTAATAAGGGAAATAATTAAGGAACACAGGACTAAGGCATTTTTTTGTTTTTATAGGTGTACACTAGAAACCGAAAAACTTTTATTTAAAATGCAACTTTTCAATGACGACGACACTGTGTCACAGAATAAATAATTGACTGTGTAATCAACTGCGTTACAAATATGTACACCTCAGTTCCAACTAGCGCCATATGGTGAACGTAAGATTACGGTACAATATTTAAAGTCTGGCATTAACAACATGGTATATTGCCATGGGACAAGTAAAATGTCCAGACCGGAAACGAGCAGCAGGGTCAAAGATGCAAGACTTGTGGCACTGCGAGTATCATTCCGTCTGCTAAGAGTGACGATTGAGGAAGATACCCTTACAACGGCAAAAGGCCAAAGGCATTCATTCTGTAAAATCTGGACTATATTATATAATACAGGGTTATTTTTCAAAGAGTAGCCAAATTTTAAACTTAAGTTCAAATGTATAAACAATGATATGCCGTTATAGCATTTTTTGAAAACTTATACTTTTATTTGAAATCATCCCGAATTGAATGTGATTTACGGGCAACAACGTTTTTGCCTACGGATCGATCCTTACGAATGTGTGCATGCGCAGTAAAATCACTTAAAATAATGCATTGTCACGCATTTTAAATTTAAAAGATAAAAAAGACAGAATGTTTGATATTTTTTGTAATTAATTATTTTTTTACCATTTGCCTACACTACTTATTCTGTACCTTCTCTGCAAATTTGGCCGGTTATTGCAAAGTAACCCTGTACAGGAAAACAAAAGAAAATCTAAAATAGTGATGTAAGAACTACCTGAGAGATTGCTTTTAACATTTTTTTAAAACACATATTTTTACATAGGATTCATTAAATTATTGTTTTAAATAAAAGAAAAAAATTGAGATTACTTTTTTTTATTTTAAGTTGATTTGGGGCCAATTGTACATTCGTCAGATAAAAGTTACCCGTCAAATAAACTATAACCTAACTAAATATAAAAGTGAAATAATTGAACTATTTTGTTCGTTCAACTGTAGTTTTTAATTTATTTATGTTATATTTTATCCTATGAATCTTTTAACTGAGGATTGAAAAATCGACCCTTAATGATACATCTTAATGACTAGTAATAAATAAAACGTCAGAAGACCAGAGGTCGCTTAAGGTTAATTACAAAGTATGATAATTACATCTTTGTTATTAATGTTTGCGCAAAAAACTTTAACATTTAAACGGAAACCTAGTATCGGTCGAAGATAAGTATCTATATCAATTGTCAACATTAAAGGTATATTTCAATTCATTCATAGAGTCATATTGACTTAGATGTTTACTTGAACATGATCAAATTGGTAGTCTCAGGCGGGTTGTTTATTATTAGCAAGTCGGAGCTAAATTAGAGCTGATGTTATTAAAATTTAATATCGTCACTTTGCCTGCATTTAAAAAAGCAAAGTTTTTTTTATTACTATCTAAATTGAAAATATAACAAAAAAAGTCTTTAAAGAGTGACATACATTCCATTTTTAAATTCAGGAGACTATAGGTAATGAATACGGAGTGTCACTACCTTTTGGCATATTTTAAAATTAAGTCCAGTAGTAGGAATTATTTGTAAATTCCATAAAATACTATAATATATAAAATTCCTATCAGATGATGTTAAAATAGCCAAAGTCTATCGTGACGTGAACCTAATGAAAACACGTTAAAATAATATTTAATCGTGGAATATGTTTAATATACTCGTAACAAATCTATTTAATACCCTGAATACACATAGTACGCCATATTTTTTTTGATTTACCATTAAGATCAATGGAACCATAAGAATTACACTGTGCTAATAAATATTTATAAAAATGTTCATTATTTCTGAGATTGTGGTTTTTAATTTAGCCTGCGGAAAAGTCATCAAAAATTCGGCATAATAGTAAAAGTACTATAAATATTTTGACTAAAAATCCAATGAAATTATTTGCAATCTAATATTATTTGGTAGTTTGTATAAAAAGTACACAAATCAATCACCTAACCTTAAAAGTATTGTTCGTATCGAAATTAATTTAACTTGAAACTAAAACAGCTAGAAAATCATCTCCAATTCTGCTTGATGGTACTTTTAATGATTTAAAAGCCGCAGCGCCGGATCCTTTGTTTCTGCCGAACAGATTAGGGAACGGGAAGTTCGGAACACCTCGGTGTCTTATGTCTAGAAGTCCATCTCCAAATGTCGCCTGAAATTAAGAAAGGATAGTGTTAGGCACACATATTATAGTAGTGACTTCAATTGAGTGATAGGAAATCTAGTCTGATAGTCAATTAAGTGTAGAGAACCGGTAACCCTTTTTACTGAAAAAGAGGCATTCTACGAGTATCTAAGGCTGAGATCTATAGACGTACTTTGAATTTGCTCAGACTTTACTTTCGAACTAAGACTATGTCGGTATTTACAGAGCAACTTCGGAGTTGTGCTGAGTACGCGCTTAGCAAAGTCTAACTAAGTCAACGATATCGACGACTTACGTAAAACTCAGGATATTATCCGAAACCACCGTATTAATTTTAAATTGTTGTTTTTATGTCACTCTAATTATTTATAACAATAAATAGGTAGTTTTAGGCCGTCTTCTAGTTTTACATAGCATTAATCCATTTTGTATTTACGTCATTTCAATCTTACTACGAATCTCTTAAAATATTATTCTTTTCTTTTTTTCTAATTTTGCACTCTCTCATCTGTTCGCGTTCTCATACGCCTGTTTTCTATTTCATGGGATAATAACTTATTTATAAAATACAATTTGGACTGTTTTCGATTTAAAATATATATACAACATGTAACAAAAATCCTGTGGTTCCCGTTAAGTGCGTTATCAGGATCAGTATTCAAACCTATAGAAATAACTTTTTTTAAACTCGACCATTTATTTTATTTTATTATTTTTTTTAAAATTTGATGTGGTTTTATTACCTCTTACTGACACTAGCCGATGCTAAAGCAAAGTAAAGCGGGGTGTTTGACAATCCTCTTACTCACCGGACAATGCAGAGGTAATAAAACTACATACAATTTGCATAAAATTATTTTTTTTAAATAAAAAAAATTATTAATCGAGTTTAAAAAAAGTTATTTCTATAGGTTTGAATACTGATCCTGATAACGTACTTAACGGGAACCACAGGGTTTTTGTTACATATTGTATATATATATATATTTTTTATTTTATTTTGTACAGTAAAGTCAAAACATAATGCATGGAATGAAGCATACATTAATATTTGGACTGTCTGAGCCTTAGCATATGCTTAGCTTAATCTTAGCCAGATATAACTATAAATTCAGAATCAAAGATTATGCTAAACATATACTCAGTTAAGTCTGAGCAAAGTCAAATTACGATCTATAGATCTCAGCCTTAGTCCTCACGGCTGAAAACGTATCAGCATTTTAATTCGCAAACGAAGATAGATGTAGATGTCAATGGACCACCTAACATCTTCATCCATAGACACCTATATCTATTAACCGAAACGCGGATGCTTGTTGATCTTATTTCTTGAAATTTTATATTAAAGAATATATTAGTAAAATAGTAAATTTGAGTTATGTAGGTAACTCGTCTCGACTCTGATTGCGAATGAATACAGCAGTTTTGAGTTCCATTGCGACATTATAGCGTTTGGTGTGCCGTTGTATGTCACTTCTTAACACAGATGCGTTGTCGTGACCCCTGAGGACTTAAATGAAAGGCTTCATTTCCAGTAAAAAGTGTCTCTAGTTCTCTTAACATTCACCATACGAAATACAAGAGCATTATGTCATTTTTACACTAGTGTAAGTTAAATTAAATTGATTTTAGATAGATGTGAAGACGTAAAAGTGTGGGCTGTAATATAAACTTTAACTGCACGCAGTAATTATAAGTGAAATTATATTTTGAGACTCCTTGATCTAATGAGCTCACTATCGGATCTCTTCTAGTCCGGAATTTGAAGATGATTATTCATCCATCAGTCAAAAGTCATAAAATTTTCTCGCCACTTACCTCAGTCCACTTGTGTGATACCCAAAGACTACGTGCTAAATACACTACAGTTTCCATTATGGATACAGCAATAAGCTACGATTTTCCGTTTGGTGAATGAAGTGAACTAGACACCGAAAACTAAGAACCCTTTTACTGGTAACGAGGCAGAGTACATATATCTTGTAGTACTTAGTGACATACCGCATCTGGATTGTGATTCCTAATCGAGGATGTCTAGGTGGTGTAGGTGAACGTGTGCTCGTTTGTTATCATAACGGGGAAAGATATCCTAAGATTCGTTGTTTTAATTAGATTTTAAATATTGATGTGTGGCTGGTATAACCAGTATACAAAAGTAGTATTTGGGTGTAGGTATTTGATGAGCTGTGAGTTGTGTGGATATCCTAAACGAAGCTTATATTTGTGGCAACAATTCTAATTCTAGGAACAATTACCCCATGTCTATCTTTATTTTTATAAACAATCACATATACATTATATGTTAAAACTGCGCTCATGTGTGAATTTTTTTTATTTACACCATGGTTTGCTGCAACACAAATTTATAAAGATGTCTGTCCGGTTGTGCGCACGGATCTAAAGTTTTATAAACGAAAATAGATAACGCGACTTGCAAGCCAGTTTTAGAATTTAAGAAAGTTTTGATGGTTATTCATCAAAGAAATACGAAAAACGGTACAATCAACTCTGTGCACGTTATGGCTGGAAACTTGTTTGGCGATCTTGGGAACACAGCAGTCGGTAATAATCGTAACTAAAAATATGAACAAAAAACTCTATTTTGATTTCGCATTTGCATTCACAATTCCGTTTTATGTGAGTGTAAGTTCTTGTACTATTATTTATTCTGTGGTGTGACGACAAAAGAAGGAAAACCAGCCAACGACCTACGTAAGACTAGTTTATTGATGAACTGTAAACGGACTATCCGTTCATGGAAAACAAATAGCCTAAAATCTGTCAGATTATTAAACGCCCACCACTAATTTGAATTGCGTGTATAGTCATTAAGCAGGCTGGGATAACAAACACACTATATTCAGACATTCAGACCCAATAAAAATTTATAGTTTTTATTTTTGAGGAAATATCCTTTACTCTAACGATCTGCCCCGGTTTCACACGGGTTCTTTCTGGATCTTTATTAAACTAAGTTTGTATAAAAAGGGTTATTATAATATTAAAGAATTTATAGATGATAATAACCCCTGGAAATGAGGTGATCGCTACCAAGCTATTTCTAATTTGTTGTGTTGTTAATTTGTGTAACATCATGATTCTAAGTTGTTATTTAAAAAAAAGTCCCGCTGGGTTTCTTGCTGGTTCTTCCCAGGACAGTGGTTTTTTTTTGAACCAGTGGTAATTATACAAAAGAGTGACTTTCAATAAATATTATTTATAATCTATATTGAATAAAAAAGTTTCTGTTTCTGTTTCCCACTCAAATACACACAAAAAATTTCATTAAAATCGGTCAAGCCAGTTTCGAGTTTTAGCGAGACTAATGGACAGCTATTGATTTTTATTTAAATAGATAATATTTCCGTCTCACTAGGAGTTTACATAACTTATCCATAATACGAGTATCGTGTGCAATGTCATCTATATAATGATACGTAAGTACCTTTGTTGAAACACAGCGTTTGAGTAGGACAGAATGATTACGTAAACTGGAATTTCGTACGTCACACAAGGATATAGAACCGTTCGAGATAGAAGAATAGTGGGCGAATCTTTAGACACTTTAATGAATTAATGAGAATCTTTTATATGAGATATGGATTTTATACGGATATGAGGCATTATATGACATCATTTCAATTTAAAAAAAATGTAAATTCCGTTCCCCTTAATTAATTCTTCCGTTTTCCTTAATTAATTTTACCATTATAAAATAATCTTACACTTTTTCTTCACCGAAAACTCATTTATGGGGCGTTCTTTTAACCTCTGTTAATGTATCCCAATGTATATAACTATAGAATGCTCAATTATAGGCTAGCTACTTTACTTTTTTTTAGAGGAAGATGGGTAATGGACACATTACTGTTAATATTTTCAGAGTTCAAGTTTCTTCGTCTTATTCATTGCTTACAACATTGTAACGAGATTCACATAAAAGAGGAAGAAACTTGTTGTTATTTGTATATAAGATATTATAAATTATTTTATTTTGTCATTATGGACATATATTACTATCAAAAGGATAACTTAGGTTTAACGACCAACGAAAAGTTTTGCAGTTTCTTAAATTGAGAAATTGCTTTGATAAATTTCTTTGCACTAATACTTACTTCCGGGCGCGGAAATCCTCCATTTAGGGAGTTGAAACCGAACGCCGAGGAAGCGCTCTGACTTCCAAAGTTGCTACCTTGAGCAGCTGCTGACGAAGCAGCAGCGGCTACCGATGTGCCAGCACCGCTAAACGACGCAGCCTGACTGCTTGCTTGACTGCCGCCAAAACTGGAAAAATAATATTAATTATTTTAGTATATTGAATAAACAGAACTAAGTTATTATTAATATTTCATAGATAGGTATAAGTATCACATAAATCTAATATGATATAACCGTTTATATAGTTTAATATTTTAAGTTCTAAGTTAAAAACGATCGGACAGACACAGACAGAAACTGATAATTGATAGAATGTTAAAGTTTTAAATTATATCTCCGATTTACGAAATAAATGTTTATTATGTAATCCCTTATTTATACTTTTTACGTGGTAGAGGCATAATGCAGAATAAGATGGCTGCAATAAGAATGGGAAAGAAAACTACACTCTAAAAACAAGGCGTTATATCTTAGGCCTTAGGGTTGTCAAAATATCTGCAGTTTGACTCTTAATCTAGGATAGATATTATGTATGATGATGGATATCCATGGGCTACAGTATTTAGATACTTACCAATACGTAGTACGAATAAGAGCTCGTTTGTCACGCTTGTATAAAATAAAATACGAGAAGTTTACGATTGTGAGTTAAAATAATTATTTAAATCTCTCTTGTTTATGGAGCTGTGAAATAATTGGCAACGTTCGCTACGTGCAGCGGTCAATACACTTGTCTACTAAATTGTGAATAATGTTTGATGTTTTTTTTGTCAAATAATTAATACAATTATTTTAAAAACTATAATAAAAATAAAATAAAACTAGTAACTTAATTAACATACTGTCCTACTCTCCGCGGTATCGTGCCAAGAACGCTGGCTGCGTTTCTCCGCTGAATGGTTATACTTAGCCATTATTGCTATACTTACCGCGGAGAGTAGGACATATGATAATTAAGTTACTAGTTTTAGTTTTTTTTATTATAGTTTTTAAAATTATTGTATTAGTTATTTGATAAGTGCTTTCACATTTTTTGTCAATATCGATAAAAAATATATACACAACTACAAACATGTTTTTCGGTTATTGTGCTTGCGTCCGTATATATATATATATATATATATATATATATATATATATATATATATATATATAAATATATATACATATACATTGTTTCTGCTTAGATCCTTGAATTTTTTTGTTATAGGACAGGGTGACCTACGAGCACACAGTCCATCTGATGGTAAGTGGTTGTTGTGGCCCGTAATCATCTACATCTATCCTCGTTTGCGAATCAAAATGCAGATGCGTTGTCACCCATGAGGACTAAGATGAAATTCCTCTTTTCCAGTAAAAAGGGTCTCCGGTTCTCTACACTCACTATACGAAACACAGCAGCGTTAAGCTGCTATTTTACGCTGGTATTCTGTGAGAGCGCGGTCCTTCCCCGGTACACAACAACTATAGTAGTAATATAGCTGCAGCATGGCTCTACCACGTATAAAATTTAATAATGAAAGGTGAGAGAGTAGTTTCTTTTATTTGCACTGGTATATCTTAACACTTTCACTGCTCGGTTTTCAGACACAATAGTAAGACAATAGCAATGACCTATATGTAACGCACGAGACAGCGAAATGGTTAAATTAAATGTTTTATTCGCTTTAATTTTGTTGGCGAACTCAACGTTTGCTACTTCATATTATTCAACAGTTTATTGCTGGTAATTAGGCTGCTCCTAAAGTTAGTTCTCTTAGCAATGTCTTATAGATCATTAATCCCATAACATCCATTTTTTAGTGACTGATGAAGGGACAATTTTTTTTACTAATTATAAGCCAGTGCTTGACCACAATCCCATCTGGTGGTAAGTGGTGATGCAGCCTTAGATGGTAAATCGCACTGTCTTATCGTAACAAAAGCCTATTCACTCTTGCCTTGAAGATGCCCAGATTGTATTCGAACGGAAAGATAGACGGTGGCAAATTATTCCACTCTTTTGCTGTAAGCATTACAAAAGAAGCAAGCCGTTTTGTTGTAATGCGTGGAATATCGACAACAAAGGGGATGAGGACCCACCGACCGCCTGGTTGTCCGATGGTGGAAAGGAGAGGGAGGAATTAAAGCGTGTAATTCCTGCGCACACTCAACGAAATGCATCCTATAGAATACCGAGAGACTGGCTACTCTGCGCCTGTGCGATTTGAAATTTTAAATTCGAGGCTAACAAGATTGGTTTCAACCAAATCAAGGTCACCAATGAGCCTCTTAGCGCGTCTCTCCACTGAGTCCAATGCTGCCAGGTGGCATTTTGCAACACCAGCCCATATGTGACAGCAGTACTCCATGCACGATTATTATTATTATGGGGTATTTGTATAGTTTTCTCATCTGGTTGGGCTGTATAAATATATAATTCAAAATGAAAATAATAAACTTACATAAATATCAATAAAATAAAATAAATACATAAAAATTACATAAATATATAAAATCCCAACCAGATGGAAGCCCTCGGCAGGGGAGACCAAACGGCCGAGGGTTAGGGGGAAAGGGAAAGAAACCGGCGGACGATGCGGGCGGTATCGAGGAGCACCGCCTTCTGCATTTGAGCTTGGAGCGATCCGTCATGGAGTCCCAGTCGCCTCAGATGACCCGAGAGGCTGACTGGGATTAACCCGTTCGCAGAAACGACCACAGGAATAATTTCGGCCGGCAAATCACCCCACATGTCGGTCACCTCGTGAGCCAGGTCCAGATATTTTGTCACCTAATCTGTGTCGGCTTTCACGAGGTTCTCGTTATAAGGAATGGTAATGTCGACCAAAAATATCCTTGACTGTGCCCGGTCCATCAGCACAATATTTATTATTTATATAGGCTTATTCGCAAGAATAGTCCTGTCTGTGATGATGGCCCGGCCCCAGTACAGCCTGGCGCAGTCATTTTCGAGTACGGCTTCCGGCAAGTACTTATAATACGGCAGTTTCCGATCCACGAGACCATATTTCAGAGCGAGCTCCTGGTGTAGAATCCTGGCTACTAAGTTGTGTCTGTGCAAATACTCAGAGTTAGAAAGCGCCGAACAACCCGGAGATGACATGCTTAAGTGACTCACCGGGATGGCGACAAGCTCGACAGACGTCGACGGTGCCATCCTTTAGGATGTATCTCCGATAATTGTTGGTCTTAATAACCTGGTTCTGTATCGCACAGACAAAACCCTCGGTTTCCCCAAAGAGGTCACCGAAACGTAGCCAGTGGAGGGAGGCGACTGTGTCTACGAAAGGCTCGTGTAGAGTGTTGTAGAACCTCCCGTGGAGCTCCTTCTCCTTCCATACGGTCTCCCGGTCGGAAATGCTCTGTACTGCCGGGTCCCGCCATTGCTCGTTGGCTAAGGATATAGGGGTAAGTCCTTTATCACAAGAAATAACGTCCCTATAGTATGGATCATCCGCTCTCGTCAGAAAGTAATTACGGAGGCTGCACACTTCGCGATTATGCATGGTATGCGCGCTTAAAAAGCCGCGCCCACCATGCTTCCGCGGCAAGTACAGCCTCATTACTGACGATCTCGGATGATGCATCCTGTGGGACGTCATTATAGTGCGGACTTTTCTGTCCAGATCGTTTAGTTCGGTCTGAGTCCACCTAAGTATGCCAAAGGTATACATGAGAACAGGCATGACCCAACCGTTATATGCGTGCGTCTTATTCACACCGGAAAAAGGCTGTTAAGCACTTTGGTCAAGCGTGCATAAAACACATCGCGAACTGACTGTTTCATACCCGCCTCATCTACACCGATGTTCTGTGACATACCCAGGTATCGGCATGTTTCAGCCTCGGAAAGGGTCCTTATGTTAATGGGCATAGATAAATTTATGCCCTCAGAGTTAGCAACCCTTCCCCTTTCAACATGGAAGACCGCACACTTATCCGTCCCCAGCTCCATTCTAATAGAATTGCTAAAATCACAAGTGATGTTTAGCAATTCCATAAGATGAGAGCGACTGGAGGCGAATAACTTGAGATCATCCATATAGAAAGGTGGGTCACTTTTGTACCTCCCTTCCGAAGCTGAAATCCCCTCCCGGAGCCCTCCAGTAAGGTACTGAGAGGGTTCAGAGAGAGGCAGAACCAGATTGGACTCAAACAATCGCCCTGGAAGATACCCCTTCTTATCTTTATGTGGTTCTCCGCAGCCGTCATCCGTTCGCCTAGATAACAAAGGATCGTACTCCACTGCCCCATACACTGCCCGAGGAAGTCTCTAACTGTACAGTCAATCTTGTACAGCTCGAGGACCCTCTTAAGCCATGCATGAGGCACCGAGTCGAATGCGTTTTCGTAGTCTATCCAGGCGGCGGAGAGGTTCCGACGGTTGCGTTTAACCACCTTGCCAATGACCGCGTCAATGAGGAGTGGTTCCTTGGTTCCATGACCACCGCCCCTACATCCATTCTGAGCGCGCGACATCACCTGATTTGAGTTCAGGTGACGACTGATTCTCGCGCTCAAAATGGATGTTAGTGTCTTGTATATCGTGGGTAGACACGTGATGGGGCGGTATTTGCTCGAGTCTGTGGTATCCTGATCTTTAGGAACCAAATGAGTGATTCCAGTAGTGAAGAGGCTCGGGAGCGACTTCTGGTTGAGAGCCTCTTGAAACTGTCGGGCGAGCACAGCGTGATACACCACGAACCCCTTCAGCCAGTAGTGATGCAGCCCGTCGAGCCCCGGACATTTCCAGTTCGGGGCCCTACGGACCGCCTCAACTACGTCATCCGGCGTTATGATGACGGGGTCCATGGGCGTAATATTCGCACACTGACTCGCCACAACTTCCGTCCAAGGGCCCTCGCTGTGGTTTATGGGCTCTGACCACAGGCCGCGCCAGAATGCGATAGTGTCGCCCTGATTCAGTGCTGGGCCCGTTCCACGTTCCATTGGCCGCTCCAATGATTCATAGAGCCTCTTCTGATCACTCTGAAAGAGACGATTCTGGTTGAACCGTGTCAACCTCTCGGTATATCGCAGAATCCGCTTCCCCCAAGCAGCGATTCTCTGCTTCAGGTCGTCTATGCGCTCCGTCAGTTTTTGCGTTATATCCGGCTGGGACA